CCAAGGCGGTATCACTACAGAAGTAGATTGCCCAACCTTCCTTCCAAGGAGTGGCTGGTGAGTTTGAACTGCTAGCCTTCGGGTTAGCAGTCAAGTGCCTTAGGCACTACGCTATCAGTCTTTTTAAATTAGTCATTCCAGTGGGTGTAAGGTGGTATCTCATTGCAGTTTTGATGTGCATTTCCCTGGTAACCAATGATGCTGAGAGTCTTTTCAATTGCTTATTATTCATTGGTATATCTTTTGTGAAGTATCCAAACTTCATTATCCATTTTTCATTGAATGTTTGCTTTCTTATTACTGAGTTATAGCCATTCATTATACATCTTGAGTAAGTCCTTTGTTAAATAAATACAACATAAATATTTTCTGGGACCAATTTTGTATTTCCAGCAATTAGTATAATACCTGGCTTATTATAGCAGGTAATTAGGTCATATTGAATATTAGAAGTTATTATTAAGCAGAAAAAAAGCATGTGGCTACCAATTCCAAGTCCTTTGTACAGCATTATCTGAATCCACACATCCCATCTCCACCCTCAAAATTCAAGGGGAGATAGAAAAATGTCTGGGAAGTAATGGATATTTGACACCATGCACTAGCAATTATTGATCAATACTGATTCGTAGTTAGAATATGAGTTCTGTTAAGATGTCAGATATACTAAGCTGGGTCAGATCATGTATACATCTGTGTGTTTATGCTTGCTTACAGATTCGTTCTGAGACCATTGCCACGTATGCCCTCTGTGGCTTTGCCAATGTTGGTTCCCTAGGAATAGTGATTGGCGGACTAAGTAAGTGAAAAGCATTCAACAGATGTTACACAAACATACTTCACATCTCCATCTTGTTCTATAACCTCATGTCAGGGAAAGAAGGTCCTGTAACAATAGTGAATTCTTTTGGCTTTTTATCTCTGCTCTGCAAGATAGTTTTCCTATGAGCACCTAAGCTAACCTCAGTTGAATCTGAGGTAATTACAGTTGTTCAAATGAATTTCAGTAAAATTTTTCAAATGTACAGCTGCTTCTCCCAACCTCTTTGGATGTGGAGCTCATCACTAACCTCATGAACTTGAATTTCTCAGCTGACTTGAGACTCCAGAGGCAGGGAATCCTAATCAATACCCTCTCACACTTGCTCCCATGTTTCTCAGCATCCATGGCTCCTTCCAGAAAGCATGACATCGCCTCAGGGGCAGTAAGAGCTCTGATTGCAGGGACTATGGCCTGCTTCATGACAGCCTGCATTGCAGGTAATGTATCTCATCCTTTGTGTCCTGTCTCCACATACCCACAGCATGGCAGATTTCAGGGGGACAATGCCTCCAATAAGCATATGCAGCATATGTGGCCACAGAAAGCTGAAAGCCAAAGCTGTTGCTAAGTATATTGCAAAACTAAATGTGTAGAGCACAGTGGAGAAGTTACAAACTGAAGGAGAGTTCAGTTGTTTTATTAATTAATAAAATAAAGGCATTCTGTTCCATTTATAGGCATTCTCTCTAGCTCTCCTATGGACATCAACTGCCATCACATTTTAGAGAATGTCTTCAACCTCGGCTTACCTAGAAACACAAGCGAAGTAGTCTTTTGTTGCCAAAATCTATTCAACAGGTATTGTATACTTGAGTATAAGTTATTTATACACCAGTATTAAGAATCCAATCAGACATAGGGAGCCTGCCCACATATTTTTACTGCCTTTAAATAAAGTAAGAATATGGGTGTCATTTCTAGCCACTTTTCATTTTCACCGGGAGCTCTGGTAGTGCAGTGCCTAAGGCATTTGACTGCTAACCAGAAGGCTGGTGGTTCAAATCCACCAGCCACTCCACAGAAGGAAGATTGGGCAATCTACTTCTGTAGTGATACTGTCTCGGACACCTGAAGGAGGGGTCACTATGAGTCAGATCCAACTCAACAGCAGTGAGTTTGGTTTTTGGTTCATTTTCACTTTTCTCAGATTAAGACTGGGCACTATAATACTAACTTACCTAGCATTGCTCAAGCATTTAATATGTATCCGGCTATGTGGTCAGCACTCTGTATGAATTATCTCACTTAAACTTTGCAACCATAAGTTAGGCACTACTACATTTTTACATTATATAAAACCAAGGGCAAGGGAGGCTATGGCACTTACCTAAAGTCACAAAATTAGTGCAAGTAGAATCAAGATACAACATTGTGGTCTCTCTGCCCATAAAGCCTATGCTCTTAACTACTACCCTCTAGTGCCTCCCTGTCAGGAAAATCAAGGAGTGTAGGCTGTCCTGACAACATGGTGATGGACTGGAGTGGATGTGGGGCCACCAGTGACCCACATCAGCCACTCTTACCCCATACTCTTTCTATTTGCTAAATCAATATTTCCCACCGCATCTACTCTCCTTAATGTGAAATTATTTTATTAGAATTAAGTCAATGCTTCCTTTGTTTATTCTGGGGGAAATAAGTGGAGTCATTCTGATTATCTGGGATTTGAGACCCCAAATTAATTCCTTTATATGCCTCTGTCCCTTAATCTACCTTAACTATAATGTGAGGGGAGAAATTAATTTATTGCCCCGTGTTATTTTTAGTGTGTCATCTTTTATCTACTATTTCCCTGATTTCAACTAACAGCTTTATTCCACTTCCCAACAGCATTATCAATAAGGGTCCAGGTATGGACATCCCAGGAGGAAACCACAGCCTGTATTCTTTGAAGGGCTGCTGCAAATTGTTGAATCCACAAACATTTAACTGCAGTTGGATCCCTAATATAGTTTGAGTGCAGCCTCTTCTCAGTGAAACATCTGAGAACAGATGAGGGATTTCCTTGCTTTGGGGAGAAAAAAACTATTCTCCAGATTGATAATTCTATCATGGAATCATCTTGAATTGGAAGGAAGGTTATCATGGAATCATCTTGAATTGGAAGGAAGAAAAACAGGAATGGATCCTTCATATCTACAGCATCACCTACATTTCTTCCCTTCCATTCCACCTCTACCCATTGAGACTACAGTTTTCTCAGCAATGTTTTCTGACCTTGGGATTTCAGAGCATATCTTCCATATATGAATACAAATGGAGTCTCCCAACAATTAGACTATGACTAAGCCACTGGGACCTAATGGGTTGACTGAATTTCAATCTTAATTGTTGTTGTTGTTATTGTTAGATGCCATCCAGTTGATTCCAACTCATAGCCACCCTATTTATAACAGAACAAAACATTGACTTGTCCTGCACCATCCTCACAATCTGCTATGTATGAGCACATTGTTGGAGCCACTGTGTCAATCTATCTCATTGAAGGTCTTCCTCTTTTTCAATGGCCCTCTACTTTACCAAGTATGATTTCAGTCTCCAGGGACTGGTACCTCCTCACAACATGTCCAAAGTATATGAGATGAAGTCTTGTCATTGAAACTGAGTAAAGTCAAAACTATTTCCCCCACCCTGGTTAAAACAGATAATTAGAACAGATAGGACCCTGGATGGGAATAGATAAATAAACTTAATTACCCTCAACTATTTCCCCACCCCGGTTAAGACTAATAGGACCCCGGTTGGAGACAGATGAGTAAACACATAGGACCCCGGTTGGAGACAGATGAGTAAACACATAGGACCCAGGTTGGAGACAGATGAGTAAATACAATAAGCTCAGTTTCTTAAGAACTGACTGGAACAAAAAACATTCTTTCCTGCTATTTCCTTAGGCACAGGTGATAAATGTGTTAATGTCTCTTAGAAAACAACTTGAAAATTAACTCTGGCCCATGGACATGCACAGTGGGACAGAGAGGAACAAAGTTACTGCAAACTAACACTCTCCCCTCTGCCTAAGCCCTGATCAGCTGATGACAGGAAGCTGGTGTGACTCATCCGGTACGAAAGTACATTGGATCAAAATGCTACTGTCCCTTTAAATTGAGGGAAAGGAAATTTCAGCCAATCGTCAACCATCTCATGCCCAAATTCCTGAAATTTTTATGAATATGTATAACCCTCTCTTCTGAAACCTACAAAAACTGTAATTCGATGGCGATTCGGGGAGTCAGATCTTGATATGGACCCCTGCCTCCTTGCATTGTCACTTTGCAATAAATAATTTTCTCTCCTCTTAATCACTCAGTGTGTAAACTGTTTTGGCCTGACTGCACACTGGGCAGGGACCCGCACTTGGGCCTATTTCATCATCCTCACATCTAAGGACCATTCTGGCTGTACTTCTTCCAAGACAGATTTGTTCGTTCTTCTGGCAGTCCGT